AATACCAGAAGGACAGAATTCTACACCTGCATCAACTGTAGGCCAGTGTGTGAAACACATCAAGCCTAAAAGGAAACGTTCAAGACGTCATAAGACCTCGAAGGCGTCATCAAGGAAAGGGGATGAATGCCAGGCGTGCAGCATCACAGTTTCTAAAACTGATTCAGCGTTTGAATGTAATTTTTGCAAACGATGGGTGCACTGCCGTTGTGACAAAGAAGTACCGAAAGCATACTATGAGTTTATGAGAAATAACCCATGCCCATGGTTTTGGTACGTGTGTCCACTTTGTCGCCCTGGCATAGTCCCACAAAGCGTGTCTGCGGATAGCAGAAATAACATGCTCTTGTGCCCCAACACAGTATCATGCAGCTCCCCCCTGCTAAACTCGCACTGCCGAAACTGGTCAAAGACTTAAAGAAGGACACACCAGCCCTACTGACTGGAAATGCCAATTCTCACAAGGTGAAGATTAGCAAGGTTCCATCCACATCAAGGGAGGGCAAAATTACAAAGGCACCACTTGCATCCACTAGCAAGCCTGGCAACACAAAAAAGGCTGTCCAGGTACCGACGAAGCCTAATGTTGCTAATGATGCAAAGGACTGCAAGAAGCCGAAGGCAAAACCTAAGTCTGAGGGTAGTCGGTCTAACTCTCTCATCCTCTTTAACGTACCTGTGAGCACGGATAGCTTGCTCGAACAACGGGCCCTGTTTGATCAGGAACAGTGGTCCAACCTGTGTGGCAAACTAGGTCTGAACATTAGTTCAGCAAAACTGTGCAGACTGTACAGGGGTGTCCACACGCCTCAGGGTAAGCCACCCCCATTACGGGTTACACTGGACTCTGCCGAAGAGGCCGAAAAAGTACTGTTAATGGCTCAGGTACTAGCCCTGGACAGAAGTTCTAACATAAGAGCGCGGCAAGATAGACCATGGGCCGTCAGAAATATGGCGAGGGAGTCACCGGAACTGATGCCTTCCACCTCTATGGTGGTACACGGTGTTCCGGAGCTGGAAACCGGCACTGCTTGTGAAAAACACATGCACGACGTACAACAATGGAGATGGCTGTCATCTCAGATGGCCCCTGGCGCTTCTGGAGCCATCTCCATTTTCCGACTACCTCGTCCCGCTCATCTAACATTGATTAACTCTCCAAAGCTGCTGTGTGTCACATTCAACTCCCCGGAGCAGTTGTCCATATCACTTCAACGGTGGTATGAGACCAAGGGAAAAATTGGAGGACACATCCGATGCTGTGAAAGCAGACCCAGAAATATAAGGAGGCAGCAAACTGAGGCTTTAATACGACCCCAAGCTTCGGTGACACTAGAGCGATGCAGCTCTGAGAATAATAGTCTGTGTCTCCCAAGTGTCCTGCCTAAATCCATTGAAAAAAACTACAACGGGCCGGTTCTATCGGAATCGGCCAACTAGTTCCAACATCAAGTCCCCCACCAGCAGACGGTTTCACGTCAACTACCCCACAACACTCTGAGGTTGTTAGACTCACTGTCAGTTGCCTATATAGCAATGTGAGGGGGCTGAGAGGGAAAGTAGGTGAACTCCGAAATCTCCAAGCACACCTTCAACTGAAAATAATCATTCTTACTGAAACGTGGCTAAACCCCACTATCGCCGACAATGAAATCAGTATAGGTGATATGGTACTGGTCAGGAGAGACAGGGATAATAAGGAAGGAGGGGGAGTTGCTATATACTTTGATAGGCAACTTAAATGTGTGCGCGCAACGGACCCACCACTTATCGAACTCCCAGACTCCATATGGTGTCATTTCACCGTAGGCCACACCAAGCACTTACTGGGTGGCATCTACCGATCTCCCACCTGTGGGGCAGAGCACAATCAGCTACTGCTCAGCACTATCACAGGAATACGAGATTTGGGCTACGACCAAATCACCATAGCTGGAGATTTCAATGCTCCATCACTGAACCTCGGCTCCGGGTGTGCTAAGGGAAAATTTGGCCGAAACCTACTGCAAACTATTCGAAACACGGGACTGACTGAGAATGTTGGAGACGACACTAGGTGGGGCCCTAGTGGAAAGTCATCAAAACTAGATTATATTCTAACTAGTGACCAGCTACTCGTCGAAAAGGTCCAGATCATGACTCCTCTGGGAAGCAGTGACCATGCAGTCATAGGTTTCGATCTTGTCCTCCGTGAGCGTTTGCAATGGGATGTTACGCGACCATGTCTGTGCTACAGCAAGGCTGACTATGCTGAAATGCGGAGGCTCTTGTCCGACGCAGACTGGCCCTTAGCATGGGACGACCTATCTGTGGATGAACACTGGGAAGTGGTAAAAAAGATTATCCATGCAGCAATCTCGGATACCGTCCCTTTAGTCACAACACAGCCTAAGAGAAAGACGTCATGGTTGAAGAGAGGCACGCAACGTATTCTGCAAGCAAAGCGGAAGGCTTGGTTTACGTGGCGTGTATCTAAGAGTCAGACCGACCATGATGCATACCTCGAACTCAGGAACCGGTGTAATGCAAGAGTTAGGAGGGACAGAAGGTCATTCCAGGCTAACCTTGCTAAAAAACTCCTATCAAACCCTAAAAACTTGTACCGATTCATGTCGGAAAGAAAACCGACAAACCAAGGGGCATGCGCCTTAGTAGGCCCAAACGGTCAATATCTCACTAGTCTGGAGATGGCTGAAACATTCAGTTCAGCCTTCGCTAAACAGCTAAACAGCAATGTGGATATTACAGTTACGGACCAAAATGGTGGCACCACTATTTCAGAGGAGGAAGACCTAGCGACTACTCCCCAAATAAACCCCGCAATAGTACTAAGGAAGCTACAGCGACTCATACCTGGGAAGTCCCCAGGTTGTGATGACATCAGGCCATCTGTTCTGAAACAGTGCGCCGAGGCTCTCTGTAGACCCCTGTGCGACTTGTTCCAACACTCAATGGATTCGGGGACCCTGCCAAGGGAGTGGAAAAGAGCCATCCTTTCTCCAATCTTCAAGGGTGGGGACAGGCAAAACGCTGCTAGCTATAGACCAGTAGCTCTACTCCCAGTGGTATCAAAAGTACTGGAAAGTATTATTGACGACCACATCAGGGAATATTTCGATAGGACTAATATACTGCATGAAGCCCAACATGGTTTCAGAAAAGGCAGATCCTGCGTCACTAACCTACTGTCAGCTTGGGACGACTGGACATCATGCTGGGACTTGAACGTACCAGTCCATGTGGTCTTCCTAGACTTTGAGAAGGCATTTGACACTGTTCACCATGACCTTCTCCTACATAAAATAAGCCAGGCAGGCATAGGTGAGCCACTTCTGTCATGGTTGAAGGACTACCTAGCCGACAGGCAATTTTGCACTAAGGTTAACCGAGTCCGATCATCTTGGCACAGATCGTCATCAGGAGTGTCGCAGGGTTCTATCCTAGGACCACTGATGTTTTTGATTTTCATCAATGATCTACCACGCCGTCTGAGCTGCCCGACTCTCCTGTACGCTGACGACGTAAAAATATGGAGGGCGATAAAGTGTCCGGAGGACTCAGATAGGCTACAGGAAGACCTAAACCTTCTGGAAGACTGGGCGGTGGCCAGTGGCATGACTTTCAACTTGAAAAAGTGCAAAGTAGTGAAGTTGCGCACCTGTAGACTGCAGAATGCAAGTTACACCCTGTGCAATGAAAGCTTGTCCTGCACAACGTCGGAACGCGACTTAGGTCTAGTTCTAACGGAAAAAATGGACACAAGCGTAAATTACACAGGGGATGTAGCGAGGGCATATGCGGTCATACACTTTACGCATAGACAGTTAGGTGCACTCACTCCTGAGCTCTTTCTAATGTTGTACAAAACATACGTCAGGCCACACCTTGAGGTGCATAATATTATTGCACCCCCAATGCTGAGAAGAGATGCCAACCTCTTGGAAAGAGTCCAACGACGGGCAACAAAAGGAGTGGTTGGTCTCCGAAACAAACCATATGATGAAAGGCTGAAGAAATTAGGCCTGTTCACACTTAGTTACCGTCGGCTTAGGGGGGATTTGATTACTGCCTACAAAATAACAAATGACCAGAATCACCCAAACAAAGGTGTTCTGCCATTGAGTAGGTATAGGCTTCCACGTGGAAATCCCAGAAGGATAGCTCACCAGAGGGCAAGGACCCGGGTGCGCTCCCACTTCTTTTCACTGCGGGTTTGTCGTCCCTGGAATTCCTTACCGGCAGATGTAGCTATGGCACCGTCTTTGGACGCCTTTAAGCGAAGGCTGGACAACCATGCAGCGATACAAGGACTGCATCCAAATGGCCTATCTCCTTAAAATCGCATTTACCAATCAGGGTAGATAATTAAACTCGTCATTTTACTTCTTTACATTCTCTCCCGTCTTACTCTCCTGACAACTTATTAATATTATAATTACTATTATTATTATTATTACTGATATATATATTATTCTTCAAACTTCATGAGCTGACTGTTGTTACGTTTCCTATTTTCGTTTCTGTCTCTTAGTCTGAATAGCTTCACTAATTATATCTATTATTATTATTATTATTACTATTATTATTATTATTACTATCTCTTTTCTCTTGTCGACAATACCGAAGGACTAACTGGCGAAAGGATCAACTCCAATCACAGTAGTAACAGTCTTAACATACCTCATACTACAAACCACATATAATTAATCCCAGCACTACTCCCTTTGGAGTCAACCAAAGCTACGACAGTCGAGTGGCGGGACAAGCTACGCAGAAGTTTACCGAAGATCAAGAACCTATACCTCACAATCAAGAAGCGAGCACAAAGAAATCAAATTGGTTTATACTAGCTCGTAAAAACGATATTGGATATTGGAAACTGGTTATAGCGTCTTTCCTGTTTGACCCTGAAATGAGCGGGTTTTACGGTTGATGACGTTATTCGGAGATAAATCAACTCTGGCTGTGATATTTATTATTAAGTTGACTTTTTAGTCACAATGTTGAGTCTGATTAAAACAGTTTTCACATTGCTACTGTTCTACTGTTTCTCAATATGCCTTACTTTTTTCAACAGTCGTTGTATAAAAGTTGGTCGCACTTTTTATAAAAACCAACATTAATGACTAGGTTTTCCCATATCCTCTGTCAATTACGCTGATGCATATTATTTTAAAGTTCCTGGTAGCTTGGTTACTACGGTCAATACTAGCATGGTCTCGTGGTGTTCCAGGTAAAGAACTTGGTTGGTCAAAGTATGTTCAGCTTGTTGCTGTTTCTGGGGCTTCAAGGTACTCTGCGAAATATTTCTAATGGTATTATGAAAGTGCTTTAGATATTGGTTTCTCTAATTGGAGTTTTGAGTTTATCACAGTATCGCTGTATGTCTGATTTAAGTTTTAATCCCTAGCAATATAGATATACAATGACGAAGTCGACCAGTGTCATATTCATTGTCATGTTTTCCGTGTTGTTGAAGCTGGAAAAAAAGGTATATAGTGATTATTTAAACATGGTTAATTTCAGAGACCCTCTCTAATCATCGTAGTTGTGCTCATAACTTGTGGGTTATTCATGTTTTCCTACGAGTCTACACAGTTTGATTACATAGGCTTCCTGCTTGTCTTATCAGCCTCTTTTCTTAGTGGGATCAGATGGTCTTTTACACAACTTCTTGTACAGGGACAGAGTTACGGTAAGTTAATCAAGTTTAAATCTTTTTGGTTAGCTAATGTTTTATAGTATAATACTGTTGTAAAATGTAGGGAGTTTTAAAATGTGCATGCAAATTTTCAGATTTATTGATTCAGGATAGAAGGCTTGAAGCCCATGTTAATCCACTTTAAGTCGATTTCCTTGTTCTTCCAAACCCTTCTTGAATGAGTCAGTTAAGCTTGCAGATGCCATTTCTCCTGGGAGTCGGTCGGTTCCAGGAGTGTATGACACAGTGTGAGAACTAGTGCTCCACAGCAATATGACTTCTTCTTTGCTTTTCAACTCTCCTGCTATGTCCTCTAAGGTGTTCCGGCTACCTACTGAGAAGAGGAAGAGAGAATAGATTAGGTCTGTGGCCATTATGAAAATTTAAACGTAATTAGATCTCCTCCCTGCCTATGGTATGATAGGGAGAAGAGATTTAGACTGTCGTCTTTTCTTGTATGATTATTTAGTCACGCCAGGAATCATACGTGTTGCCTACATTTAAACTCTTTCTAGAATACGTGAGCCCCCTTTAAGACTAGGATGGTCGCATTACTTCTTTTCACTATATCTACCACCCAGTGACCTGGTCGGAGTCTCCTTGTGATTCTCAAGTGACGAAGCTTCCATACCGTTTGTTACGGTAACCAGTGCTATATATTTATATATGTCCTTGAAGTACTTGATTCAAAACATCCTTAATGCGATAGCCTTCGTGAAGTAGCTTGTTTCAATCATTCAGTTGCTATTTTCTCACAAAAGTGCACAGGGTTAACGCCTCCATCCTGAATAAGTTTTGTTTTCAGTATGTGACAGTGGATGGTTAATTTATCCACTTATGGTTAGACCTAAGACCTACTGGTTATGTTGCAATTTGTGTACTACATTGAGATACCGTATTTTCATCTGGTTCTTAGCTTGAAATTAATCCGTTACATTAGTTGGTGTAGTGATTGTGTAATCTAATGTCACTATACGTACATCTATTTGCAAATTTCGATGTAGATGTATTCTTTCATCTCTCTTTATAAATTAGTTTACAAAGGCGTTTAAGTCTCTAACTAATTTTGTATTCTTAGCAACCGTTCGGCAGCGTTTATGGATTCAGTATTTGGCTATGTTAAACAATAGCTTACCATGGAATGCAAACGCAGGGGTAGTCTGCAGCCGACCAACCATAAAAATAAGTGACTTTTGCACAAAATATGACGTATATATACAAGAGAATGCATAAAAGCACTTTAAACAGGGTTTCTTTCTCTGAAATAACTTAAAATACGTCCCGGTTATACTGAGGAATATCAGTTGCCAAGTTAGACTAGTTTCTGTACATGTACTCACCGAGGTGACTAAAGATGAGCTATTTTTGTAAATCAGTTATCTCTCTTCTCCTCTTGTGCAGTCTTCCCCGAAAGCCCTCGGTTGAATCACTATGGTTTGCAGTAAGAGGATTGATCACTACCTACTGGGAAAAATGTGGATAATAAAACAAATTAAAATAAATAATAAATAAATAAAATAATAAATAATACTAACCCTAACCGTAAACCTAACCCAATGTTAATTATTACCTTAATCCTAACACTAACGAGTTGTTAAAAAAGTTGTCCAAACTACTTAAAAGGGTGATCTGGGTGAATTTCGCTTCTTATTTGGTGGTGAATAACGTTCTTATTTGTGCTAATGACAATAGGTGTCGTTAGCCAGCAATTGACTAACCTGCATTCAAGGTCATTGGGGCGTTTGCGTATCCCTTGGGACGCTATTGTTGAACTTCACCGCCTATTATACTGTCCTTACTGGAATTAGTATTCAAGAGAATCAATCATATTTCCGTGATTTTTTTCCCTTCTCACACAGGTCTTTCTCATCCGGTTGATTTTATGTACCATTCTCAGCCATGGATGGCCCTGGTTATTTTACCATTTTCTGTTTATATAGAAGGTAAGGTATATTCTTATAGATGATGCTTAAATATATATATATATATATATATATATATATATATATATATATATATATATTACTTATATCTTTTGCATAGGTAAGGGTCTAAATGAATGTCATGTCGACTAGGATTGATTATTTGTTTCATCACTCAGCTGTTTTTAGTGTATGAATATGTACAATAAATCAAATACTGTGTAGTCGTGATAACCCATAGAAAAAGGAAAAACAGGGCAACTTTCACTTCGCCTAGCAATTTGGCAATCTATGCCAAATATAAAATTAGACTCGTGTGCTTTTGGAAATGTGCGTAGGCGGTTTTTACTTCCCGGCTGCCTCCCCTCAAGTTGATTGATTCTTCGGGTTACTGAAACAGAAAGAGTGTTGCGTAACCGCAGTTGACCCTAGGGGACACAACTCCTTGAGGCCGGCTGGCCATTCACATGGTCACACATACGGCCTGTATGAACTGGTTTCTTCGATTGGTTCCGTTATGTATTCGTAAACTTATCGCCGGTTACTGACCACCATCGTAGATGGGGTAAGTCGGAATGTACAATTTTCGGGATCAACGTTTTCTAACCCTCTCCAGAGTGGAGAGACAGTACATTTGGCTGGCTGGCATGCTGGTCATCTGAGTGAGGGAAACCTTACTGCGGTTGTTAAATCCCTGTTTCTCAGAATAGTGTAAAAATCAAAAATTCATACACTATGCCGGTAACTGCTCTAGATGCTATCCTATAGCAACCTTCCTTGTATGGTACGACCTCCAGCAAAAAGTTGTTGTGAGTCATTGTGCCATATGCAAGCCCGGCGACCACCATCATCATCACGTCAAGGTAGGTGGTAGCAACTATCATTCGGAGTAAAATTAGGCTGCAATTCAACGATGTGCTCAAGCAGCAGCAGCATCGTCCGACGAAGTCTCTCTATCCCTACAACTCAATATGGTTTACGATACAATTAAATCTTAAATCTCATTGTGTTACAATTTCTATAATGTTTTATTTCTTACAACCTTTCAATGTGAGTGAAATGTTCGTCAGGAGATTCATTTGAGCTATTGAAATTTACATGTGAAGAAACTTCGTTAAGTGCCTAGCTATATGTTAAGCGTCAGCCAGCATTTCCCTTTCATAACATTGACACTTGCATGACTCCATAAACAGTGATAAGAAGAGTGAGACGGTTTCTAATGACGCCACATCATTGTTCGTATCATATCATAATTACAAGCTGCACGTGGGTGAAGCGTATATTACAATTAGAAAGCAAAAGGATTGATTGAGCGAACGAAGTAATATTTATTATAAATTATTTAAATTAATCCCAGCGTGTTAAGAAAATCAAAACAAGATTTTTCTGGACGTTTCGCCGTGTAAGCCACAGCTTCTTCAGCAGATTTATTCGGATTATAATTAATCATCAAAATAATATTTACTTTTTAATTAGATTCCTCATCTCCCTCTGGCTTTCTACTCCAATACACCTATAACATTTTTATTACAATATACAAGAATTTACCAATTAATAAGGCACTGATATGTTTGTTAACACATAATTAGTCTGTATGAACATGTCAGCGAGGGGTGGACGTGATAATTAACGAAGAATATTAATACATACAATTAAAAGATAGAAGTGGTTACAACACGAGGATTGCGTAATGAACATAATTTCGGGAAGATGAAGAGTGATTAGGGTTAGGCGTGTGCTCAAGTTGATTACGTAACAGGTTGTTAAAGAAAAAAATAGAAGGATTTGGACAATGATAACTTGTAACTAGAGATGAATTAGTCAGAAAAAATAAAATAATTTGGTCAATTATAACTTTTAATGGTTTAGGGGGGAGGGGGTGTAAAGTAGTCCGGTTTATACATTCATGCAACAATGGCCTAGGTAAGGAAAGTGGCTGTACAAATTTCCGCTGAACACACACTGGTTTGGCTTCTGCAAGTGGATTCCTATTGCTTCAGCTGTCGTATTTAGCAGGCGAACACGTAAAGCGAATTAAGATTAGTGGGAATACCATAAATAATTTTAAATGTCCTGTATTAACACCAACTTTATGCTGACTGTCTACAAGGTGTGCCAAAACAGAGCTGCTTCGAATAGATCTTGTTTGTTCCTCGCTTAACTGCTATGCTGGATGATGTTCGGAAATACGATGATGAACCTGACTAATTGTACGCCCGATGTAGTTGGCCCCATAGTTGCAGTCAAACTGGTAGATACACATAGAGCAGGAAAAATTAGGTAGTTTATGCTTATTTCTTGAACATGGAATAGGGTTGGTAGCGAAGAGACAACGTACCAACTCTGGCGCATTATAAGCTCTTTTAACTGCATTCTTCAGACGCTCTATGTGGTACTATTTTGCTGATGTTATCACTGAGGAACTGCAGTTTTATGAACAATGGTTTTGTCAGATCTGTTGCCATACTGACTTTCCTACGTGCTGAATTCGTATTTTTCTAAATGAACCCCTCCGCCTAAACCTTCAAAAATTATCGTTGTCCAAATCGTTTTGTTTTTCTTTAACAATCTGTAACATAATCAGCTTGAGCGTACTCTTCATTTTTCCAAAATTATGTGCATCGCCGCCATGGTCCGGGATTCAATTCCTGGCCGACGCACTCCTTTACCTCGCGAAGCCAGAAGTAATGCTGGCAAAGAGGAAAGGTTGGGGATGAGGCTAGCAACCCCATCCTGTGAAATTAAACACTGCTGCAGAAACTTCAAGCCACTAGCTTGAGGTCCTATGTTCCACTGGGGAACGTGAAGGAAAAAAAATGCATTACTCAATCCACGTGTTGTAACCATTTCTACCTCTCAATTGTGTGTATTAATTTCCTTCGTTGATTATCACCCTCCTCCGGTGACGTGTTCACATTGACCAATAATTTTTAAGTATGGACTTTTTAGGGATTTTTTTGTTGGATTGGTTGGTTGGGGGATTTTATCATGAGCACTGACATCGGTTTGTTAGAGAACCATTGGAAAACCAGCTGGGAGTACTGCCAACCAGCCAGTCAGCTGTTTCGTCGGCCTAGTTTAGGACTCTTCAGCGTAGAAGTTAGAATTCATGAGCTGGCCGGGTGGCCATTGGATAGGGTCCCAGTGAGTGGATAGCTGATGGGTGGTTTAAGAGCTCGTTAGCCTTGTAACCAAAAGGTCCTGAGTTCGAACCTCGGTCGTGAGCCAGTCCAGCCCGAGCACTATGATGGAGGAAACAACTGTCTGGCAGCGCTCCCGGCTGGTTTTCTGATGATTCTCTAACCAACTGATGTCAGTTTATGATGAAATCCTCCAACCAATCTAATTGTGTGTTAACAAACATATCAGTGGCACTTGGTTGGTAAATTGTTGCAGATTGTAATAAAATTCCTTTATATGTGTGTATATTAGAGTAGATGGCTAGCTAAATAGTGTTTTAAACATAGATCAGAATGAAAACTTGTCAGTTACAAAACTTTGCTAAATGGTCTTACGTCATCTAAAGGCATTCATTGGTGAGTAGTATTCAAAAATGATGATTGTTATAAGGTTTGTTTAGCAACAGGAAGTTAGGCGTTTAAGGCGAGCAAATGGTGTACAATGATGTACAAGTTGAAAGTGTTTAAGGCTAAAGTAGTGTGAAAGGGATTCAGGCAGATCGAAGTGTTTATCTATCTATCAATGAAACTGTCTATTTCACACAGCTTTTGTCGGTTTATGTTCTTCGTAAATCAGCTGGTTTAATTCTATAATTGTCAGTAACTAGTGTAATGCATGTGCGTGTTTTTGTGTGGGTGTCTATTCCTATCGTTGGTGCAGACTGAATGCTATCAGTCAATCAGTCAGGTTTGCAATGTGGCCACCAACAAACAGGCTAGGTGTCTGGCTCGCCATCACGGTGCATTGTGAATTAGATGGTTGAAGGCAATCGGCCACAGAAAGCCCTGCCAGGACCTAGGTTTCGTGCTAGTTGGCACTCACTAGTTAGTCAGTCACCAAGGTGTATGTATCTGCAACCACATTGAAAGAACAATTCATGTCCCTCCTTCTGAGATTTGAACCCTAGAGTCACCAACAAATGAGTACTTCAGTGGGTCAGAGACGTTACCACCACTGAGGAGCTGTTCAGACTTGACCTCCTCTATTGGATATTTTCGATGAGTGCCAACTAGCACGAAACCTAGGTTCTGGCAAGGCTTTCTGTGGCCGATTGTCTACAAACATCTAATACTAACAATATTTAACTATTGGAATAATACCGCGTTCACGCTTGTTTTGGAATATTATTGGTTATTATAGTAAAGCGATGCCTGTCGACTAAAGTTTGCCGGGAGCATGTTTGTCTTCCGTGTATTAATGACAATAGCGGGTCAAAGTAAAACAGTCTAGGTTGTCTCATTTTGGGGGAGATACATAAGTTGGAGTATAAATTGAAGCCTATTTAAGATTTGAAACAGTACTAACCGACTAGTTATGAGCCACTTGAAGTCATTTTTCACCGACCTAACCAGTAGCCTTCAACCATCGGTATTTAAAAGTTCTATCTTTTTATGCGACTCATAACGATAATTTGACGACACATTGGATCGATATACCTTGTTTGAGTTTGACTAATCTGCAGTCTTTTACAATATAAGCTATCACTGCTTATTAATGGACGTAGTGGTAGTTTCTCACATGTGTCTGTCGAGCCATCTCATTTCCTGTAGCTTCTCATCTTTGTCGACTGACTAGTCCTTCGTAGAGTTAACAATTTCGGGTCTCTAACCTCATCTCATTACATACCACACCATTTCCTCATAAGGAGACACAATCGAATAGTGTAGTCTCTTATTTTTTTTATTCCTTCACTTTTCCGGTGGAATATAGCGAAGGCTTCAATTTTCGGTAGCAGTGGTGTTTATTTTTACAGGATGAGGCTGCTAGTTAGCTTCATGCCTCCACGAGCTAGCTCGCTCAGTGGCCTTCTGATATGTATCCACATATATATATTTATGTGTGTGTGTGTGCATGTTGGTCTCTCTTTCTGTTTGCTCGCTTAGTCTGTGACCATTTCACTTGTGTGAACTTGTCTCCTTTATTAATGTGTATTCTCCTTATATTATATTATATATAATATGAGTGTTTGTTGACAGTCCGTTGCTTGGTGACATATATCCATATATGGTTGTTGACATGTCTGCTATATTCGCTATGTATATTTGGATCGACACTCCATTATAATTAGCCATTCATGTTAAGACTGTCTAATGATTTGTTCCCACGCTTTGTCTGGAACATTCATATATATTTCGCATACACAATTTGTGTGAACTACTTTACTTACTTATCACTTTGGTGTGAGACCATTTATTTTCGTCTCCTTGTGTTTGGACAATAGAAGTATCATCGCAAACCTAGTGGTCTTCTGATTTCCGCCTTCTCGCGTCAGGACTATTAGTTTCTCGACCAGTCCATAACAATAATTTAGCGACGAGTACATAACACCTTCTAACCAGAAGGTGGTCCTGGGTTCGAACCGAAGTGGTGTGGTAGATGTGTACTGATGAAGATTCGGAAACTAGGACGGAGGAAACAGCTGCCTGGCAGTACTCTGTGTAGCTCGTTTTCTAATGGTTCTCTAAACAACCGATGTCAGTGTTCATGATGAAATCCTTCAACCAATCATACAATCATAAACAATGCAAATCTCATTCATTCATTTACTCAACTGCACTTTTTTGTTTTCATCCTTGGAAAATAAAACGAATTTCTTTTTCCATCTCAGCTTTGTATTATGTGGTATCTCTGAGACACAACACATCGACTATCTGTTGACTGAAAAGTACATTTTCGACGACGTAAAATAACTCAATGAGTAGCTGGCTTAATCCAGGTAAACATATTTTTGTCTAATCATTAGCTGTAGGGGTTTACACCGAATTCACTGACTGACTGACTGGTTTCAACGTAGATGCCTCTGCGTCAGCCGTATCACCAATTGTCTCCAGCCTTCACTGGTTTTTACCGTCCCGAGGAACACAACCAGGCAGGAAGTCTATACTTCCCTACGTGACTGCCTGGCTTAAACTAACTGTTGTGGATTCCATTGACTGACGAAGCCACGTTTTGGTTTGACCACCACTGGCTAACTCTTTCCCAACAATCTCATCCATCCTGTGTCAATCAGCTAACATTACCCATTGTCGAGGAAGGCGATGCTTAGGGATGCATGCGTAACACAAGTTTTAAACACTCCAACCGATATAACTTCACAGCCTCGTCTATTGATTTCTCCTCCTCCTTACCTAGTTCTCGACCGATGCCTCACTTCAATATTTCTCCCCTTATAATACTACCGAGCACGGAAGATAGAACGCAGACACCTATGATCAAAGACAGCTAGCTGGGCAGTTTTTTCATTTCTTCCACTTTCAATGGGTAGCCAGCCAGAGCGAACTGCTGCTGAACTGTACACACACTCTTTGGTCGACAACCAGCCAGTTGGATATCACGTTTACTAGACCGGAGATGGCGTAAGTTGACTGAAAAACGGCAAAAGAACCTTCCGTATCCGTACCCAGCTGAGGTTTCGTCAGTGATCAACCCGCTGGTGTTAGCTGGGCTGATACAACTTCCAAAATAAATGAAGTGGTCAACGCGCTCCGCCAGCCAATTCACTCCTGCCTATCTCTACGCTAGGAGTAGTCAATGTCGTCCAGTCCTTACATTCGACAGCAGCAGGAACGAATCGCATGCTAAGCATTCACAGATTGCTTGTTTACACCGAAATAACTTGAACTGTGGTAGTTACTGATTAACTATGACTTAGAAATTAGCAAATGATTCCATGAAATACATTTAGGTGACTTGAATAAGGCGCTTAGAAAACAAATTTCGCGAGATGATACTGTCATTTCGCAGTTTATGCACAATCGCTTTACAACTAGCAACATGGTTGGTTCACAGTAATAAAATAAAATAAAATGCATGACAGTTACTCAGTTAGATAAAATAATTAGTGCATAGTTGTGGCGAAGGTTAAAGCCTACTGTTTAGGATGTATGTGATTAATCGCCGAAGGGTGCTTCCATCATTACCTTTAATAATAACCAACCTTGAATTAGAGTTATGTGATGAAATAATCGTGAAGCAGTAGTTAATATTGATTTTATGACCTGACATTAATAGGCACTTTGCAATGGATGACGGTGGATTTCTATTCAGACTAATTATCGCATCGGGATTTTCTGTTTTAATAACCATTTTGGAGAATGTTCTTCTCGACGACCACACTGGAACATCCCGTTGGTATTACCTAAATGTGTGTGTTACCGTAACTGCAGGCGAACTTGTAGATACAGTTTGAAGTAGAGTGCACAGAATTTTGTCCTTTAATGTCTGTCTGTCTGTCTGTTTTCGACATAGAACTTTGCACAAATGTGCGGAAGTTCAAGTCGCCACATTCCGTGTAGCACGCGAAGCAAGAGAATAAAGTACAAGAAAAGTATAATAGAAACAGTGAGCAGAGGTGTGAGACAAAGGAGTAATAAAGAAATACAAAACAGTTTCATTGAAGATCATAAGTCACAGGGAGTGGATGCATCTGCGCCACTGAGAACGGTTTTGAGCCATATCACCAATTGTTTCCAACCATTTGTTTTTACCGTCCCGAGGACCCCAGCCTGGAAGTCTACACCTTTCTACGTGGCTTAGACCAACTGTTGTGAATTTCATTGACTGATGCCAAGTTTTTGTTTGACCGCCGCTAGCTTTTTTCCAGCCTGACCCTATATCCGCTAACATAGCTCGTCGAGGGAGGCGATGGCTTGGCATACATCCTTTAATCGTAGGTACAGGGATGGAAAATGTTCGACATGTGAGGGAAAGAGATGCAGCGTAAAATGTATGCGCTTGATGGCTGACCGAAGTCTTTGAGCTGTCAACTGGATGGATAATTTGATCACCTTTGAATAATGGTAGGTTAATAAAGATGCCTTTCTTTGGTACAGAAGTTGTCTTTTCAAGATGTTGTCTATCCTCACGGTGACAATTGATGAAGTTTTCTGGAGTCAAAGTTCACTCATCAATGTCTCGCTCGTGCATATTTTGATTTTACATATTTTATGTGTATATGCATGTGTGTGTCATGTGCTTATTTCAGGTTTTGAACTTGCCACAGCGAAAAGTCTTTTTCGTACGGACAGTATCAACCAGATAGTTGGTAATTTAATCCACTTAAGCATTGGTGCTGTATTGGCATTTGGTCTTGAATTTTCAGAATATCTGGTTGTCAGTTCTGCTTCAAGTTTAACTTTGTCAATTGCAGGTATATTCAAAGTAAGTAAGTACATCTGGGTGACATTATTCTTGTGTCATAAGAAAAAGGCGTAAACAGCGAAGAAAATTTTCTTTTCGACGATTCATTTTCATGAACTGTACAATCGTAACTATATTTAACAAAGAAAGCTGGTAAAATTTATCCTCGAAAAATGTATTACATAATGTACAGTGTAGTCTAGACGAGGTACTAATTGTAGGTTAGATAAGAGAAAGAAGTTGACATGGCGTAATAAGTGTGAGATAATGACAAATCAATATGATTGTGTAGAATGGACAGGAACTAGTGGAATGACGATATATTGTTTTTATTTAAAATCTGTATGAAAACACAATGTTATTGATAAACAGTAATAGGGTGATAATAAAATATGGATGGTGGGAAGAATAATCATAATAAAGTAATAATAATAGTAATAAAAAGAAGGAAAATTATAGTAAGAAGTTTACTCTGACCATGGTAGGGTAACAAGCGAATGTATGTAGCACTTTTGAATGCAGAGGTCTGGCCGGTTTCAGATCATAAGCATATCAAGGCACTACTGACGCTATTCACTATCTTGCTTCATTTACATACCGTATTTACCGTAAAGGGAGGAGACACGAGACCTTACGTAGGATTCTTAATAAAGCAGGAATTAGGGTGATGACCTTTAAACCTACAAACTCACTTACAAGTAGGACTAGCTGTGTAGGTATGTTGAAGGAGCCTGTAGGTTGACCCAAATAAACAAAATAATATAACAAAAAATATAATAATTGCAATGACTATGAGTTAGGTTAACTATCCACATAGATGAATCAGACTAGTAGATCACGCAGGAGTAGTGTCAGAACATACGGATTTAGCCAAGGTTAGAATGATTGATCCCACCCACGAAGATAAGTAATTTAGAAAAAATAACAATACATTGCACTGCATGCATTGACGCACAACCACACAAAGGGGTGGATGGGAAAGTTTCAAAATTCTAATAACTAATCTAGCTAGGCGGGTGGAGATAGAGAGAAAGAAGTTGATTACTTACTGAATCCTGGATCATCGAGTCTACACACCAACACAACAGAAGACAACACATGCAATAGAAGTGACTCATCATCATCGCCAGCTAATACGAGAGATATGCGAGATATTTTTACCACCAGTCAATCAATCGGGCAAATCAGAACAGGATAATAAATAATCTTGAAATGTATTCTATTTCAGTTCAATTCACATACACATTAGAACATTCTAACAACAAGTTATTTATTTAGTTATTAATTTTACTATAAAAACACTTGTCTTATTTCCCTTCCCTTCTCATCCCATCTGATTGTATTTGACTGATTGATAACACTAATATCACTGTTATTATTATTATTATTATTTCCGAATGTACTTTCTTCTCATCTCATATTACTGATTGATTTAATTCGATCAAACGTCCATTTGCCATCATCAATTTTTACTCATTTGTGTATATAAGTGACGAAGCAAGAAGGTGAGTGGTGTGTGAGTAGTGTGTGTGCCTTGATATGATTATGAGTAGTAGTGGCAGTGATAAATTGTGCTCGAATCGTGTGGTTATCATTAGTAAATATTACTGTATAACAAACACAAACACTGTGTGTTTGTTATACATTGCATGCAGTGCAATGTATTGCTGAGTTATTTTTTCCGAATTACTCACCTTGTGGATGGGATAAATTATTCTAACCTCAGATAAATTCTTATGTTCTGATAGCCTATCTCAATACTCCTGCCTGATTTACTTGTTCGGCTCACCTATATGAGGTAGTTGACCTAACTCACAGTGGTTGTAAAGTATTTTGTAAATTATATTATTTTATTGAATTGGGTCAAATTATAGGGTCCTCCAACCTACCTACACAGCTTCTCCTATCTGAGTGAGTTTGAGAGTTTTAATGTCACCACCACCATAATTCCAGGTTTATTGAGAATCCTACGTATGGATGGTCTCAAATGTCCACTCCCTCCTTATATAGTAAAACTACAGCAGATGCCTTATATTTTCTCTTATCTATGTTATCATTATTAGTTTCACCACTACTTTATTTTACTTTTGACCTTTTTTTGATATTCCTAATGAATTTTATAGGATAGTCAGTTAGGATATTTAACACCAACCAGCCATTCTTCTCCTATTTGTTTCATCTCATCATTTAGGTCTTTTATGTACTAATTAGTGCTACTGCTTGGTTTGTTAGACACTTAACAACTGAGCCTGCCTTCACGCATAAGATGATTTGTAGTCTGAATATCTATTAGTAGAATGCGTTGGCCTTTTATAAACGCCAGTGTGTACTTTACCTTCTTCTCTTCGTCTTATTTTACAATCTGACACATCATAGCTAATTCTCCTTGTTCATTTTCTGATTCAAATGTGAATTATATTCCCTTTATTAGTGGGTTTATATGTGTCACGAAACTGGTGGTTTATTCTATGTTTTAACACAGTGTGTGAAAGTATCATCATTGATATGTTTATGATTATGAGTAGTAGTAGCAATGATAAATTGTGCTCGAATCAAGTGGTGGCATCACACAGTAACACACACTGTGTGTTACAATTTATCAAAATAAAATTTTATACATAAAGGAGTATCCTCCATAATAAGATTAAGTTCAGTTAGATGCAGTCTAAAAGTTTCTTAAACTAAATGATCGAACCGGAAAACCATTATTTGAATTTGCCATGAAGAAACTAAGATTTTTTAAAACTACATGAAGCATCTGTTGCTAATCAGGCAGAAAGCTGGAAAAGTGAGTCTACAATTAGGCTAAGAAGAACAGCCTATCTTTTTGTCACATAAATGTATAAACCAAACTACTTCACCCTTGCCCCATTGGTTCTTTTAAAAGTTACAATTGTCCAATTTATTTTGTTATTATGGCTACTTCACCTTAAATTACAAGTTATCATTGTCCAAGTCATTTCATTTTTGTTTAATCATCTGTTACGTAATCAGCTTGAACACTCACTTAAATACTCTCCATTTTTCCAAAACTATGCATTGTGCAATCCACTTGTTGTATGCATTTTCTTTTTAAATTGTTACTTCCTGTATAACAAACACTGTGTGAATCCCGGTGGGTGCGTACTGATGAAGAGTCCCAAACTAGAACGAAACAGCTGTCCAGTACTCCCAGGTTTTCCAATGGTTCTCTAACTAATGTCAGCTCATGATGTAATGCTGAAACACTGTGTGATTTTATCAAAATAAAACTATATCCATAATGGAGATATACTCTGCCACCACAGTGCCCAAGTTTTAACCTTTTATCGATTTAGGTTTTTACATGAAAAACTATATCCTTCCTTGTAGTCGTCATACCCTTACTAATTAATACAGTTTGTCAGTTGAAAACACCACTAAGTCTTGAAATCACAGTCTGCACTTGAAAATTAATAGACATGTTTCAAATCTTATCGTTAAGGGTCTTTGCAATCTAGGTCTGTCTACTTCGTGCTCTGGTTCAACGAAGGTGTCTGTGTCACGCGCAAGTCGACCTCTGTGGAAATGTCTTTTCCTTCACGTTCCCAGTGAAACATAGGACCTCAAGCTAGTGGCTTGAAGTCTCTGCAGCAGTGTTTAATTTCACAGGATGGGGTTGCTAGCCTCATCCCCAACCTTTCCTCTTTGCCAGCATTATTTCTGGCTTCGCGAGGTAAAGGAGTGCGTCGGCCAGGAATTGAATCCCGGACCATGGCGGCGATGCACATAATTTTGGAAAAATGAAGAGTACGCTCAAGCTGATTATGTTACAGATTGTTAAAGAAAAACAAAACGATTTGGACAACGATAATTTTTGAAGGTTTAGGCGGAGGGGTTCATTTAGAAAAATACGAATTCAGCACGTAGGAAAGTCAGTATGGCAACAGATCTGACAAAACCATTGACATCTTCGTCCGTTCCTCCTGTAGTTGAGACAATGCTCCCTAGATAAGTGAATGAAGTGACCTCTTTCAAATCCCTCCCGTTGATGGTGATTGGTGCTGGATGTTGCTGTTGTTGCTGTTGGTGTTGGTTGGTTATTTTCATAACCTCCGTCTTGTCTATGTTCACTTGGAGTCCTGTCTTCGCCGCTGCTTCTTCGACCAGTTTGTTGGTTTCCGCTTGTAAGTCTTCGATTTTGTGTGACATCAAACATAAATCATCCACGCGCGAAATCCAGGTCTTCTAGGTTCTTCACATCGGTCCAGGATATCCCTGTCTTCTCGTTTCCCACTCACTGTCTGACGCCTAATCCAGTCAGCACCACAATTAGGAATATCATTGGTGATAATAAGCACCCTTGTCTGACTCCTGTGTTTACTCCAAACGCCTCTCTGAGTTTTCCGTTGTGGATGACTTGACATGTTCCGTTGTCGTACAGCTGTTGAATGAGGTTGATGAATATTTGGGGTACGCCATGATACTCGAGTAGTTTCCAAATTACTTTGCCATCGACGCTGTCTAAGGCCTTCTCAAAGTCTATAAAGTTGAGGTAGAGGTTTGATTGCCATTCCATGCTTTGTTCGATGATGATGATGCGTAGAGTTGCAATTTGGTGAAAACATGATTTGCCTTTCCTGAATCCGGCTTGTTCTGGTCGGAGTTCTGTATCCAGTGCATTCTTTATTCTCTCCAGGATGATGCGACTCAGGAGTTTACTTGGCGTCGACAGGAGCATGATTCCTCGCCAGTTCTTGCAGAGTGGGGCCTAAGTCGTTCTTCTTTGATAGTTTCACGGGGTAACGTTTCCTCCAGTCACTAGGCACCTTTCCCTCCTTCCAGACCTTTTGCAATAATGGAGTCAGTCAGCATATCTGCTGTCGTCTCTGGGTCTGTTTTCAGTGCTTCAGGGGGTATTCCATCTGGTCCAGCTGTTTTTCCAGCTTTCAGAAGCTTGATTACATTCAAGACTTCAGCTTTCTTTGGAGAACTGGTGTCAGCTTGCAGTTGTGTGCGCGCTGTTGTTGGTATTTCTTGATGGGTTGCAGATGGTGGTCTGT